CCCCCACCTCAACTGTTCCAGAACCCGCATTTTATATCTACTCATGAAACGTTCGAATAGTTACAGGTTTCCGTTTGACCCCGAATCACCTTTGACCTCATTAACCTTTGAACGTTCCAACAGTTTCAGGAATTCATTTGACACCGTTTCATCGTTGACGTCATTAAAGGATGAAACGTTCCAAAAGTTTCGAGTTTTCCGTTGATGCCATATCAACTTTGATTACTTGGACCAGTGAATCGTCAGTGGCATCATCTACGGAATATTAAAAAAATCCTCTAGTTTGATCGTTTTTCGACAACAAAAACCCGTCGAAACTCTTTATTTTCTCTTGGCACGGTCCAAAGTGGCCGGAAAGGGTGAGCGAGAAAGTGAGGGGGTAAAAAAACCCGGTCCGCAGGCCAACTTCTGAAGGGGCGGAGAATGCATTAGCGGGGTCGGGCGGGAGGCCGTCGTGCTTCAATCCGTCCCCGGAGGCGGAAAGAAGGCTTTCAGCCCTTAATTTCATTTCGTGTGAGACGTCCTCCGATCCGGGTTGCATTAGTTTCCAATTATGGCTTGTGAAGGCGGGGGGGCAACGTATATCCCCAGCTATGCCGGCGTCAACCCGGAATAATGCTCTTTCAGCTTCATTCGCCTTTTTTTACTGCTCCAGAAACGTGTATTAAAAATAATTAAAAACCCCAAAATTTTAATCCGCCCCAAATCTCCGTTTGATGGTGACCGTTAAAAAAATGGGTCGATTCGGGGCGGTAGCCATCCTCTCGTTGTCTGGAAATTAAAAGAATTACAACTCCTCCGAGTGTAGTGTTCTCTTCTTTATGACCTGTTCCATAACAGTAAAAAAAGTGTTGAGGAACTCCGGTGATTATATTCCTCTGGAGTACATCATCTTTAAACTCCATCAACAATTGGGACGGTCCAACGGTTTTCGTTTGAAATCACCAAAGGTGAAACGTTCCAACATTTTCAGCTTTTCGTTCGACGCTGCTTTGTTCTATTCGAAATTATCCAATGAAACGTTTACATTTGAACCCATTTCACGGACAGCTACCATTTGAACATTCCGAATGATGCGGATTTTGCTTGATACCTTTTTATCTTCGACGTTATTGATAGATAAAACGTTCCAATAGTTTCAGGGTATCATTTGACGTCGTCAACCATTTAAACGTTCCTAAAGTTTCAAATTGATGTTTGACTCCATTTTACCTTTGGCGACATTACAACATGAAACGTTTTTATTAGAAACTATTGTTTCAAGTTTTCGCTTGACGCCTGTCACCTTTGACTTCATCAATCTTTGAAAATTTCCAACAGCTTGAGGTTTTGTTTTTCAACAATAGTTAGTTCCCGCCGAAAGTAACAGTTGGAATTGGAACGTTTCAACTGTTCCTAATGGTTGCTTCAATCGAGATTCGTCTTTGACGTCACTAACAGTTGAAAAGTTCCAAGAGTTCCAGTTTTTCTATTGGTTCCATTTTATCTATGACGTCATCAAACCATGAAACGGTCCAAAAAGTTCAGGTTATCTTTAGACGACATTTTATCTATGACGTTATCGTTTACTACCATTTAGTTCTTGTCGATATAAACTGATGATACGCACCAAAAGTTTCAATTTCTCGCTTGATAAATTTCACGTTTTTTCTGAAAGCTGGAACGTTCCAAGTGTTTCAATATGTTTTGTCTTTGGCGTCACTTACAGTTGAAACCTAAAAGTTTCAGGTTATGGTTAGACGTCATTACACTTTGACGTCATCAACCGCCAGAACGTGCCAACTGTTTCAAGTTTTCGCTAGACGCCATTTCACATCTGACGTGATCAAACTTCGGAACGTTACAACTGTTTCAGGTTTTCGTTCCCAACTCTGACTTAACTAACTACTACAATTTCACGTTTTATCGCCCGCCCAGTCTGACCCCGGTTCGTAACCCGGACGTTTCTTTATCGCACTTGTATCAAGTTTACAAATCTAATCTGTGATAGTGTAGATCCGGCATTTCTGAAAACCGGCCCCAGTCTTTCCCGCTTTGCAAAGGGGAAACTCACCGGCATGCAATATTACTCCTGGAGTTTACTCTGTAAATAATGATCCGTGAGGGCTTGCACAGGGTTGGGGGTGGCGGTGAGGGCATAAATTATGAACACTTCTACTGTACACAATGGGGCCGGTTTTGTACACCGTGATTCTACCGTCGTAAGCGAACGTGAATTTTTTTTTTTTTGTGGGTGGAGGGTTTTAAGGTTTTCGCGTCCGTCTTCCCTGCCATGTTTCAACATTCAACGAGACTTCACGAACTGTTACCTATACGAAATTCGAATTTAATTTATTCATTGAGGAAGGCGTTTTCAACCTGGCGTTAATGGGTTCTTCAGGAAACAGGGTCGCGATGACGCTCTTAATCCCTGGGATTAACGAGCCCCTTCGGAAGACAGTGGCTTTTCACGTTTTCAACCCTTTTTCAACCCCCTTTGTACGATGATCCAATCAGCTCTTACAGTCTTCATTCGTCCTTGACTCTCCTCCTCAGGCGAGGGTAATGAAGCTGGAACGAACGACACGGCAGTGACTTAAAATCAACAAAACCTACCCATCTGCAGGATTGTTTAGAACTTGTGATAATGGTTTATTGTTTATCGGAAGGTCGACCCCCGCACCACCAGATAAATAAGACGGCAGTACCGTTATTAATATTCAATTAGGATCTTATCACGGCCCCCTCCGAGGGTGAGCGAAGGGAGGAAATGCATAAATTCATGAAATACAACTTTTCATCTTAGGTCGTTTAATTTTGACCGTGGGAACGGGACGGGACGATAACCATCCCTAATTGTATCAGTTGAAAGACGGCCGATGATCGATCTCTATTTTTACAGACTGTATTTGGCTGTGATCTACCCGGAGTCGGAGTCGGGGGTGCAGAGGTCGGTGAACAGGACCCTACTCGGGACCCAGTCGCCGCCTTTCCCCCTCACCCCTCTCTACACCGCCCTGGACGGCTCGCCGGCAGGACTCGAGTCACTCTGCGCCCAGTGGGAAGGTAGAACCGTCGTGGCGGCCCTGGTCCTCGCCGGCAGCGGAGGCCTTGCTGCCGTCGGGCCGGCCCTGGCCGCCAGGATTGCGGCCGTACCCATGCTCTGGGTCGGACAAGCGCCGTTTGTACAGGTAAGCCGAGGAAAAAAGACAAAAATAGGGAAAACTAGTGTAAAATGTAAACCTGGCCGATGCTAATCGATGAAACGTTCCAAACGTTGTACCAGTAGATTAATTTCTTTCCATCTTTGACGTCATTAACAAGTGAAACGTTCCAATTGTTCCAAATAGACGTTTCAGTTTGGTTCGACTTTGGCATCACAGAACGTTGAAATGTACCAACTATTTCAAACGTAGTCATCTCCGGCGTCAGTAAAAATTGGAACGTTTCGACTGTTCCACTTAGTTGATTCTGTTTCTTTCATCTTTATCATCATTAAAAGTTGAAACGTTCCAAAAGTTATAATAGGTTAATTTCCTTTCATCTCTGACGTCATTAACAAGTGAAAGGTTCCAACTGTTTCAAATAGTCGATTCAGTTTCTTTCCTCTTTTAACATCCCTAAAGGGTGAAACGTTCCAACTGTTCCAAATAGACGTTTCAATTTGGTTCGACGTTGAACGTTGAAATGTAACTCTTTCAAATGGCCATTTCCGCCCTAGTCATTTCCGGTGTAACTAAAAATTGGATGGTTTCAACTGTTCCACTTAAGTGATTCTGATTCTTTCATCTTTAACATCACTAAAAGTTGAAACGTTCCAAAAGACGATAGGTTAATTTTCTTTCATCTCTGACGTCATTACCAAATGAAACGTTCCAAAATTAACAAATAGTAGATTGTCATCGCCTTTGACGTCATCACCTTATGAAACGTTCCAAAAGTTACAATAGGTCAATTTCCTTTCATTTCTGTCGTCAGTAACAAGTTAACGTCATCAACTCGTGATGATTTCCATCTATTTCATTCAAATAGACGTTTCAGCCGTAAAATCTCTTACGTCAGTGAAAAGTAGATCGTTCCAGCTGTTCCAACTAGTTGATTCAATTTCTTTCATATTTAATAGAAAGATGAAATGTACCAAATATTTCAAAAGACCATTTCAGCCCTAGTCATCTCTGCGTCAGTGAAAATTGTTACTTTTCAACTGTTCCACATAATTGGTTCTGTTTGTTTCATCTCTGATGTCACACCGAAAGTGTCAAATTACCGTTTCAATTGTTCCTATCTTATTTTCATTTATTGTTTCTATTTTTACTAAACGGTGTAACATTTCTTTACTCTCAAAACTTTTCAAGTTGTCGCTCTATTCCTGTTCACCTTTGATCACAACGGTTTGTTCCAGATCGATCATTTTTCAATTTTCGTTTATGTGCCGATTAGGTCTTTGCAATGTTTATATAGATTCTTGAGTATGATGAGGCTTGTTCGCGCGCTTATCATCAGATGTAGCGCACTTATCTTCGATAAAAAGCAAGTTTTAAGGCAAACTTTTTTTTAGGAACCTTTAGGCGCACATGTGATACGAGTCGGACCAACGGAAAAAGAACTGGCCCAGGCCCTCCGCTCTCTACTGGTGACGTCCCACTGGCATTCCTATAGCCTGCTCTACGCCGGGCCGACGGAAGGGCTCGACCCGCAGAAGGTGAGAGAAAACAAAACGCCTCAAATCGGTCGGACGCCTGCAATTGACACGTATAATTGACCTGTCCACAGGTGAAGTGGCTTAGGGCGCCGCCCCTCAACCCTACCATATACAGGATGTCACCGACGTCCGTCAACAAGAGGTAAAATAAATAAAAAAGTTGATATTTCTTCTTTTAAGGGGTTGACGTGGTTCCTTTTTAAGATGAAGGAAATGGGGATTATGTAAATTTTTGTAGCCTGGAGGTTCAAGCAAATCCGGCCTTGTCAACTAGCAAGACAACCCCTTTTCTACCAGAACTCGGGATCAAACATCACTAGAGTATTTTTTTGTTTGTTTTTTGATTGGCGATACCTCGGATTTTCAGGATCCTTCACCGGCTGTCCCATTCGAGCAGGGGTGTAATAGTCGTCTGCGCGGACCAACATAGCGTGGCCGGGATCCTTCGTACGGCCACGTCCCTCGGCATGACGGACGGCAACTTCGTCTGGATCTGGGTGGACACCGGAGCAAGCGCCACCCTTGAGACCAGCCTGACTAGCCTGAGGAGGACGAGGTCGACGTACAAAAGGCGGAGGCAGAGGGGCGCCCTTTACGACCGGCCCAAGGGGATCTCGAAGTGAGTGATGGACCCTGCCGAACTGAGGACTTTCTTATCCTTTTGGCTTTTCGTCCGTTTTTCCAGGCTGCCCGTCGGCCTGCTCGCCCTGAGGGCCGCCGTCCCCCCGCCGGATAGACACGTCATACGAGCGAGCGTCAGGCTCATGGTAGACTCGATGAAGAAGGCGGCGAACCGCGTCTGCTCCAGGCTAGGGGTGCCGACGATCACGAGGAGTCAATGGAAGGTGGCGACCACCTGCTGGGCCAGGCAGCCACTCGAAATGGGAGAATTCACAAAGGAGCTTGTCAAGTAAGTATTTATGTCCTTAAAGCATACATGAGAGAGTTGTCAGGGTGTCTATTTTATCTTTAAATCCACATTATCACGGCATTTTAAAAGATTTCCTACAGTTATGACCATGGATTGATCAACCGATCATAATACCTCATATCTAACAACATCTCGCATCTAATATCTGACATCTAACCTCTACCATTTCACGAATTTCCTATTGTTCAACTGTTTCATGATTTCCTATGACGTCATCGTCAGGTTTGCGTTTGAAGCCATTTACATCATCAACCGGTGAAACTGTTCTAAATATTTCAAGTGTTCGCTTCACTTCACCAAACCTTGAGGCGTTCCAAAATGTTCAGGTTATCGTTCGACGCCATTTCACTTTTGACGTCATTAGCCGTAGACACGTTCCAATAGTTTCAAGTTTTCGTTTGACTCCATTTTACCTTTGACGTCATTGAAAGAAAAAACGTTCCAAAAGGTTCAGGTTTTTGTTTAACACCGGTTCACATTTGACGTCGACAAACTTAGAATCGTTCCAACTGATCCAGATGGTTTATTCACCCAGCTTTGACTGCATTTTACCTTTGACGTCACTGGAAGATTAAAAGCTTCAAAAGGTTCAGGCTTCGTTTGACGTCATCAAGTGGTGAAACATTCTAACCGTTTCAAATTTTCGCTTGACGTCATCAAACCTTGGAACATTCCAGAAGTTTCAGATCATTGTTAGGCGACATTAGCCTGTGAAACGTTCCTACTGTTTCAGGCTATCGTTCGACGCCATTTCACTTATGACGTTATTAGCCGGTGACACGTTCCAATAGTTAGTTTTTGTTTAACTCCATTTTACCTTCGACGTCACTGGAAGATTAAAAGTTTCAAAGGTTCAGGTTTTGGTTGACGTCAACAACCTTTGAAACGTTTTAAGTTTTCGCTTGATACCATTTCATCTATGACTTCATCAACCATTGAAACATTTCAACAGTTTCAGGTTTTCCCTTGACGCCATTCCACATTTGACTTCATCAACTGAAACTGCCCAACATTTTTCAATGTTTCGTCTGGCATAAATTCCCCCTTCACGTAATCAACCCATGAAAAGTTCCAACTGTTCTAAATTGACGTTTTAGTTTGTTTCATCTTAACCATCATTAACAGGTGAAACGTTCTAAAATTTTCATTTGGCCGTTTCTTTTGTCCTATTTTTGACGTCATTGATAGTTGAAACGTTTCAACAGTTTAACGATTTCGACTTTACCCCAGTTTATGTTTAGGATTCATTTAAGCTCATCATGCGTAACATTTAACATCATTTTCACCAAGTTATGTTAGGTCAATCCTAAAAGCTAAGAAAGTCCTTTTGTAAGAAGTCATTGGTTCGTTGAAAGTTTGTACTTTTCTCGGATTTCCAGTCATATCACCTCATCTTAATTGTGTTATACGTGCTAACCTTCATAAACAATGTGTGATAGGCCAGACACGACCGACCCCACGTTCTCACTTTCGGACCGAACCAGCCGGAGTCTTTGTTTTCCTCTCGTTTTAAACCACCGGGCCGTACAGAAAGACGTACAGGGCTGAAAATTGAATAAATCATTTTCCAGGAGACATGATAACGACTGTTAACGAGTCACCCGCCATCTGGGCCGGCCCGAACGCCCAATTTATCACCCTCCCCTTTTTTTTCTTTCAACCCCTTTCTACTGTTCTTAACCTTTTCCACCCCCTGCGACTTATTAGTACTTCCTTTATTGCAAACTGACTTAATTTTAATTAAAAACAACCCCCTGCCTCCAACCCCTCATCGGACGGGATGGCGTGAATATCCTTCGCGGTAGGCGAGGTCGGCGAATAGGAGGTCGTCCATCATTCAGATCAAAGATAACTTGTTACGCCGTAAAATTACCCCCCCAGGGCGGTTAGTCAATAAAACGTTTCACTAATTTTCAAGTCAATAGGCAAGTCGTGTCGGGGGAAAAGTTATTATGGGATCCCACCTCAACCCCCCCCCCCTTCAGACGCGTTTTGAGAATTGGCCTTCTAGTCAATTAAGAAATTATCAATTCAAATCTAGAATGCCGTTTGCATAAGACGGAAGATTCAATCAAGTACAAAAAAACTCCTAACCCAATTATTTTTAACAAAAAATCTCATTGGAAAACGCCCATTTTGACAATTTGACACTGTTAGAACAGGTTCAATTGACGTCAATAGACACAATTGTGGAAAAACTTTAACGACCAGTCAAGTATTTCCACATTTTCGCGTGCGAGACGATTGCCAGTACTAATACAAATAAACTTAATGGTCAATCAATAAAAATTCATTAGTATAACATGCTCAGTTTTCAACCAATTTACTAAGAAAGTCATCCCACAATGACCTTTGAGGTCAATAATTCAATAGGTCAATATTATTTTTTAAACATTCAAACAAGTATACAGTACGGTTAATACTTAGCAGTTATCTGCACTCTTCTATATACGTTATGTTCAGGATAGTTTAGGTCAATAAATCAATATTTGTGTAATGTTGAAATGTAAAAATTCATTAGCGTGAACAAGTTTAATCTTAAACCAGTTCACTAAAAAAACCGTCCTATAATGAACAGTTGAACTTTGAGGTCAATAAGTCAATAGGTCAATATTATTTTTTAAACATTCAAACAATAATTATAAAGTACAGTAGTCGTTAGTAAACAGTTTTAGTACTTCTCTTCATTTGTTGGTATGCAAGAGATAGTTTAGGTCAATAAATGAACATTTTGGTAATGTTGATATGTAAATTTCGTTAGCGTGAATAAGTTCAATGTAGAACCAGTTCTCTAAAAAATCTTCCCACAATAAACAGATTACCTTTGAAGTCAGTAAGTCAATAGAAGTCAATAAATCAATTTTTTAAATTTCAAATATACATTAGTAGTTAGAAAACAGTTTTAGGGCTTACTTCTCTTTATTAGTCGGTATGTACAGGATAGTTTAGGTCAATAAGTCAATATTTTTATAATGTTGAAAAGTAAAAATTCGTTAGGGTGAACAAGTTCAATCTTCAACCAGATTACTAAATAAAAACATTTCTCACACTGAACAGGTTATATTTGAGACATTGATAGTCTGTAGGTTAATTTACAGATAGAAAAGAGAAAATACTTCACAGATCATTGATCAATTGTCCTAAAAAAATTACCATTTTAAAACAAAATATTCAGTCAAAAAACCGCCTCAGACGAATCGGGTCAATAGTGCCGTTTAATCCAATCAGATGCACGATTTTTTTCCCATTGGCCAATTGACCAAAGCTGAATTTAGGTCAATAGTATAAGTCAATCTTTTGGATGGTAATGAAAATCTATCCTACGGTTAAAACCAACTTGTTTCTTGCTCTGTTTTTTACCCATTGACCAAAGTTGGATCAGGTCAATAGTACATTTTTAGGCAATCTAATTAATTTTAGACAGTAATACTTTTTCAGTATGTGTTCGGCTTGTTTTTTCTGCATTGACTAATTAATCATTTGTTCATTTTAAGGTAAAACATTGACTTTTAGTCAATAACTAGCTAATAGTATAGCCTAAGATAACTGGTCTAATGATTATTTTCCTCTCTATCACACTCTCACTCTCTCTCTGAATCTAGATCAATATAACGTCTAATTGACTTATGGTCAATACCAATCACTGTCACATTGCAATAGAGGTACCTTTGATCTCGGAAGCTTCCTTCAACCGCGTCAATGGGCGACCATTTTGTCATATTGATCAGTCAATCAGTGCAGATTGAAAGGGAGGAAGTAAAAAGACAAACAAACCAGGTCAATGAAACCAATCTAGCCGGAACCAGGTAGAATTGGAATAAAACCAATGATTAAAAAAAGGAGGGGTGGGAAATCAGCGCGGATTTGCACAATTGACGTTGTTTGGAATGTTTTATTGTTTTTATTGTTTACGATGGATCGGGGTGGGGTGAAATATTGTGTGAAGTTGGGGTTGTTAAGGGGGGGGGGAGTGAAAAGTTTCGTGGAATGTTCGGAATGAAGGGTAAGACAAAGGGGTTGAGATGTCTCGGGTCAATTAAAACTGTCCCGTGGGAAGTAAGAAGGGTGTTGGACCCCTCCCTCCTCGCCACCAGTTCTAATTTTCGCCACATCCTGCTATTCATTGATAAACTGTCTTAAAAAGAAGGGATTTATCGTTAATCCGTTAATCCGCGCAGGGAGCTGAAACGAGGAGCCGAGTACAGCCTATCGGGGAAGGGTGCACCGGCGACGAACGAGACGTCTGGACAGAGGAGCCTCAGCGCAAGGTTCCAGATACTCAACCTGGTCCCGGAACAGCCGGAACAGTTTACCCAGCAGCAGCTTCTGTCGAGTAAGTACACTGGCAGTGGTGCAGAACAAAGTGGCAGCTTGTTTTCATAACCTTTCCCCATTTTCATTCAACGCCGAGCCATTAGTCGATACCTCACTGATATCATCGATAGACATTAGAGTTTTCTAAAGTTTCAGCCTGTTTGAACTCATTTCCTGAGGTTCCATGGGTTGGCCAAGATCCCCAATTTAACTCAGTCATCATCACAGTTTAGATCATCATGAAGGTTCATCGAAAATACATCGAGGTATACTAGGCACAAAAGAGATTCTTTAAAATTAGCCATGCTTTTCACTTTTTATCAAATAAGGACGTATCCTGAGGTGCCATGGATTTACCAACATGGCTACCTTAACTTGGTAATCATCACAGCTTTGATGATTACCTATTAATATGTCAGGAAAAGTCAAAACTTGATTGGATCCACTGATGCCATGGAAAGGTTTTTTAGAATTTATAAAGTTTCAGCTGTTTTAACCCATATCCTGATGTTCCATGGATTTACCAACACGGTCGCCTTAGCTGGGCATCATCACAGCTTCGATGATTATGATGATTCGTCGGAAATCCACCGAGGAATTCTAGGCACAAAAGAGGTTTTTCAAAATAGCCATGCTTTTCACTTTTTACCAAATTAGGACGTATACTGAGGTTCCATGGGTTGACCAAGATAGCCACCTTTGCTGGGCAATCGTCACAGATTCGATGATTATGGTGATGACCCAGAAACCAGTCAGGAAAGGTAAATAGATGAGAAAATCCACTGATGTCACCGAAAAGTTTTTCGATTTTCTAAATTTTCAGCTGTTTTAACCTATAGTCACAGTTTGATGATTACCTAGAAACGTGTCAGAAAATGTCAGAAACTGATAGGATCCACCGATGTCATGGAAAAGTTGTAAGAATTTCTAAAGTTTCAGCTCTTTTAACCCTTATCCTGTGATTCCATGGATTTACCAAGATGTGACCTTAGCTGGGCATCAGCTTCATGGTTCGGCTGTCAATATGATGATTTGCGATTATAACTAACGTCTTTTCCAGTGCCGAAGAGGGTCCAGGAGTCGGACAACTGGAAGCAGGTCGGCGAGATCATCGGCTGCTGCGATGTCCGCCTCGAAAGGATCATCTGGCCCGGTGGAAACATAGGTAGTGTCGTCTTATCCAATTCTCCGGATTACCCCTGAATCTTGTCCTTTTGTCCAGGTGGGCCTTGCGGCGGTGCGAGGACGAAGATCAAAGTGGTGACGGCGGTTGCGGCCCCGTTCGTCATGACGTCGGACGCTGCGAGGGGAGGAGGTCAGACGGGCGGATGCCTCAGGGGCTTACCCTGCCAGATAGTCTCTGATTATAACGGGACGAGGTACGAGGTATCAAGGTACCATGTTTGAACTCAGACCGTTGATCATTTTCACCTTAAGGTACACGTACAAAGTGTCATGTTGCTACGGCCTCTCCATGGACCTGCTGGAAGCCGTGTCTCAAGAGCTGGACTTCGACTTCCAACTGTACATGGTGCCAGATTCGATGTTCGGCTCGAGGGTGGTTGACCCGGACGCCGGGACCGTCAGGTACAAAGGATCCAAAAACCAAAACCAAAACCAAAAGACCAAATCACTCGAATGTTTTCAGATGGACTGGCGTCGTCGGTGATCTAGTGTCAGGGAACGCGCACATGGCATTCACCGCGCTCAGCGTCTCCAGGCCGAGGTAAATAATGGATCAAATTACATGAAAGAAAGAAAAAACCCTTCATAAGTGAATAGGTCAATATTAAATAATAATTGACGTAATTATTGACCTATTGACTAATGATCTTTGGTTGGTTCAAATAAGTTCAGAGGAAAGTGTATAATATTGTAGGGTTGTGTTCATGGGTTTAGATAGGACGAGAGACCCCTTTGCCGCCCCCAGACCACAACCGAATTACCACCGACCTCCGCCCCTTTCCTCGAAATATCAATTCACGAAAATCACCCCACGTCCAATTTCTGCCTAATGTTTTCGTTGTCCAACAGGATCGAAGTTATCGACTTTTCGACCCCTTACTACTTTTCGGGTGTGTCGTTCCTGGCGGCACCCTCTCAGAGGACGGACATCCCCCTCCTCGCGTTCCTGCTTCCGTTCTCGCCCGAGCTTTGGATCGCGATATTCAGCTCTTTGAACGTGACAGCTGTGGCCGTGGCTATATACGAGTGGCTGTCGCCGTTCGGTCTCAACCCGTGGGGACGACAGAGGACGAAGAACTTCAGCATGTCTTCAGCCCTTTGGGTCTGTTGGGGCCTCCTGTGCGGCCACCTCGTCGCTTTTAAAGCGCCTAAATCATGGCCGAATAAGTTTCTAATCAACGTCTGGGGCGGTTTCTCGGTCATATTCGTCGCGTCTTACACTGCCAATATCGCCGCTTTGATCGCCGGATTGTTTTTTCATTCTGCGACTGCGACGTACCACGACGACAGCCTACTCTGGCAGAGGGTCGGCTCGCCCAAGGGTTCGGCTTCGGAGTATTACGTCCACAGGGCGAACCAACTCCTCTGGGAGCATATGCAACGATTTTCCGTCCCTGATGTCGCCACCGGGGTTCAATATCTCAAGTCAGTACACACTCCTTAAGTTTTTTTCCACCTTGATACTGAATTTTTGTCTATTTAGGAACGGAACTTTGGATATACTGATAGCGGACACTCCGATTTTGGACTACTACAGGGCGACGGATCAAGGCTGCAAGTTGCAGAAGATAGGAGACGCGATTAACGAGGACACATACGCAGTCGGCATGACGAAAGGGTTCCCTTTGAAAGACAGCATATCGGCGGTTATATCCAAGTTCACGTCAAACGGTTACATGGACATACTCCAGGAGAAGTGGTACGGCGGGCTGGCGTGTTTCTCCATGGACACGGACATGTCTCAGCCGAAACCGCTCGGAGTGACGGCCGTCGCGGGAGTCTTCCTACTCCTCGGGCTCGGAGTCGTCATGGGCCTTCTCATTCTGCTCGTGGAACACCTCTTCTATAGGTACACCCTTCCGATACTGAGGCACAAGCCCAAAGGCACCATCTGGAGGAGCAGGAACATAATGTTCTTCAGCCAGAAGCTTTACAGGTTCATAAACTGCGTCGAACTTGTGAGCCCGCACCACGCGGCAAGGGAGCTCGTCCATACCATCCGCCAAGGGCAGATCACAAGCCTGTTTCAAAAGAGCGTCAAAAGGGTACACCACCTTCTAATAAAAAACACACACATTTAAATCGGAACGAATTTGACTTGAATTTGTTCCAGAAGGAACATGAGCAGAGGCGAAGGAGGAAGAGCAAGGCACAATTTTTCGAAATGATCCAGGAGATAAGGAGGTAAAACAAAACCCCAAAACCTCAATAAAACAATCAACTAATTAACTATAATTAAAGGGTGCAGCAGGAAGAGAAACAAAACAGCCTTATACTCTCAGATGGGGGTTCCTTGCAATCACCTAGGTTGAGGAAATCTAGGAGCCCTCAACTCCTCAGCCCTCCAGACCAGCAGAGGAGGATGTCAAGGCTGCCGACACGGTATGTCAAATGCTACCAAAGGTAAACATAGTTACCATTGTCTTGTTACAGGCTGGAGCTTGCAAGGAGGTTCAGCAAGGACGTGTTCCGGTCCAAAAGCTCGGGCAACCTGGATAGCAGAAGGTTATCGTCCGACATCAATTTCGCGGCGAGTCGTTTCCTCGAGGCGCATAGCTCCCAGGCCATCGGAAGAAGGTAGTTTTATTTCTGCCCATTTTAAACAAATTGTAACCATCTAAATTTCTCGGTAGGTTGAGCAGGGATACGAATCTAAGCCCACCGGATATCAATTCGAGGAGGGCGAGCCATCTGGTACTCACACCTGAGCTGAGCATCGCGAGCAATGAGACACTAGACGACGGTTCTAAGTCGGCGTACCTCCAACCTCCCGAGATCGCGGTCCATCCTCCGGTAAGCCCGAAGAAGCCGGACCTTCCACCGCCTCACCCTGCGACACCTCGGCACCAACCTTTAGCTAAGAGGTTCAGCTATGTCGACACAACAAGTCCTAGCTTCAGAGAAAGGATATCCAGGTAATTTGAGTGTTTGTGTGTGTGTGTGTGTGTGTTTTAAATAAAAAGTGTCGTTTAGGTTTGCCGAGGAGAAGTCGAGGAGCTCGGACGAAGCGACGACTGTGGAAGAGAGAAAACGGAACGCCCCAAGTCTCCTGGAACAGATCAACACGATGCAAGACCAGTTCCCGGTGAAGCCGAAGATCGTCTCTTATGTGCCAAAGAGGTCGAGGAGGACAATCTCGGCAGACACGCCCTCCCTCTCGGTAGAGGAGCCATCCTCATCTGGGCAGACGTACGTCGTACCCGGTTCGACGGCCACCCTAGACCGTCTCAGCAGGCAGGAGCTCATCCAGCTCTCGCACATACCGGAGAACGAGCTGAAGAGGCGTGTTATACAGGCGTTGAAGGACAAAGCCGCCTCGTGAAAACATTCGATACAACGATTTTTTTACTATGTACCATAATTATGTATTACATAAAACAATTCATAAATTATTTAAAAAAGATAGGTATATACCAAATTTTACACATAACAATTTTTCAGATTAAAAACAAAACAAAAACAATATAATATAAGAAAAACCCCTGCCATTCTAATAAAAAATATAAACATAAATATAGGTAAATTATTTAAAACTACTCTCTTTAAATGTATCTAGAACTGTCGAAGAAGAACTTAGATGTCTAGCTGGTCAAATAAAAATAAAACGGGTTTTAGTAGATACTGTTTTGTAAAATATCTATATATATACGGCATGGCCGGGTGGAAGATGAAATTTTTTACGCCTTAATGTTAAAAAGTGGCTGAATTATGTATTCACCTCTGTTAAAACGTGTCCTACCCCCTTTGACCAGCCGTAACCAATCCTCATTGTAAACATTAACCTCTGTATAAAAAACATAACTTTTCCTCTTTGCAACTATTATTAACCTATGTTTGTCCTTATTGTAACCATTAACCTATGTTCGTATATATCACTTTTCCTTATTGTAACCCATCAAACTTGTTTAAACATAACTGTCTAATCCATAAAATTTCCTCATTGTAACTATTAACCTATGTTTGTATAGGTAGTAAATTGTACGTTTAAAGAAGTTTGATGGTTACAATAAGGAAAAGTTATGTTTTGCATACAAACATAGGTTAATGGTTACTTTTGTAACCTTCTCAAACCTTCCCAACCGCCAACACCTATTTCTAACCTAACCACCCCGAACTTTCGTAACCGCGCGTAACCTCCTTCAACTCGCCATAACTTAAGAAAGAAAATCTTTTGGGGGGAAAATGCCTTGCCAGCCCGACGTCCCGGCCAAGCCTGGAAGTATAAATAATAGAACTGGTCTTGTTAGTCTATTTATCAAGTGATATTGAAAAAAAAAAAATTATAAATTATTATTATTTAAGAAGGGGAAAATATAAATATATATGTAAAATTAAAAGAGGGAATTTTAGAGGAGAAACTATAGTAGTGAACGGTCCTTTTATAGTAGGCAAAAGCATATTTGCGAATTGTGTACAGACAGAAGAAAATTATGCCTTCTTTCTTCTTATTCTTTTCAAAATGTTCATTTTTTTAAATGAATTTTGAAAAACCTGTTGACTTTCCATATATTATATTATAAATATATATATAACGATTATATTTGTAAAATTTAAAATAATATTATGAGTCGCAGGACGACTGTGTGATAGATTTTAGAAGTTTAATCGTTTGTTTAATTTTTCCTTATTTCTTTCTGGTAAATTATTCTTTTTTTGTGTGTGTGTGTTCATATTCTGGTTTTTCTTATATTTTTTCAAATTTTCTCACCCCTCTCCTACACCGACCTGGAAGTAGTGATGTCATTAGTTGAAAGGCAATAGCGATCTAGGAGGCACCGCCTCGTCTTTTCATCTCGCCACCGAATGGTGGGGGAAAGAACAATGAAGACACACACGACACACACAAAAATTAGGGTTACAAATTAAAAATAAAAATAAATAAATGAAAAGAAAATTAAAAGAGAAAAACTATATAAAACATATTATGTATATTGACAAAAAAGAGGAACTTCTTTGTATTTGCCTTATAGGTTACATTAGTGACAAAATTAAAAAAAAAAAAAAACAAGATAAACATGAATAAAGAAAAAAGTAGATTTATGAGTCTTTTCAAAAAAATTGTTTTTAAACTTATTATGTACACATGAAAAAAAGAAAATTGTGATCTTTCCATCCTCATGTACACCCGATAAATGAAAAATTAATTTATTTAATAATATTTATCAAAAAATTAATTAAATATAGCTGTTAAGGTATTCAATGTTAGTCTATCCTTAGAACTTATATAAGTGCGCAGTGGTTAGAACATGTGCCTCTAATCTTTCTAAAAAAGTACGTATAATTAAAAACGTAGAACGCCAAATTTTATGGTTTGTTGTTGAAAAAATAAACCCCTGCAATTTGCTCAAACTAATTTAAAAAAAAATAAAGAAAGAAAGAAAAAAACACCTCACAGGAATTGAACATTTTGAGATATTTTGAGAACGAGTGAATTGGAGGGATCCCCGGCGAAAGCGTCGAAATCCAATATTTAAAAAAAAAGCCACTGTGCACGTGCCAAATGCAAAAAATATACTTCATAAATACATAGTTTAAATTTTACTCTGTAAATTTATTTTGTTTTATATATATATATATATATATATATATTTTGTAATTTTTAAAAACCACCCATTGTGTTACTTTTTCAGTTATATATGAGTCGACTGTTAACCTTCATTAGCCCCACTCTAACTCCTTCTAACCTTCCCTATCCCCACTCCTAGTTCTCGCTAACCGTCCATGACCCCCATAATAAATCCCGCTAACCTCGTCATCCTCACTCCTAGTACTAGTTAACCTTCCATTATCCCCTTGTTATCACCATTATATCCTTGTTATCGCTAACGATCCTTAACCCCCACCCCAATCTTCCTTTACCTCCATTCCTAGTTCTCTCTAACAGTCCATAATTCCCACTCCAAGCCAAACCTTCTTTAATCCACACTAATGGTTTTCCCTAACTTTCTCTAGCCACCACTAACCATCCATATCTCCACTCATAGTCGTCGTTAACCTTCTTTATCTCCCACTCCATGCCAGCCCTAAGCGTCCTTTACCTTCATTCATAGTTCTCCCTATCCATCCCTGACACCCTCTTGACCGCCTTAAACCATCCGAAACCAGCCTTAATGATTTTTCTTGGCCTTTACCTCTTAGTCAACTTTACATTTTAACATAGCCACATTTTTTTTATGGGAAAAAGAAGTTTCCTTTGGGTGGACATTATCACACATACACTTTGCCTCTTCTTTTAGTCAATCGTGCCATTTTTCTTCTCTCGAAACGTTGATTGTTTCTACAACTAAAAACTAAGAAAAACTTTTAAAAAATATTGTTATGTACATATTGTATAGCAAATATTTATTGTACATAGGTCTAGATGAAATGAAAATTAATTGATTAAAAATAACAAATATTACAAGAAAAAGTTATATCTAAATGAACAAAAAATTGTTGTATGTCTCATAATTTATTGAAACAAAAAAATTATGACAAAACAAAATTGTTGTTGGTTAAAAGAAGAAAGAAAACCTGATTTAAAAAAAAATGAATGTGTATTTGTTATCCACCTTTCTTTCTTACAGGACGCAGAATCTAAGATAGATTTAAATTATCCCCCCTCCCTACTTCAAGCCAACAACCTTCCATAATCGCACTCCTTCTTACCACTAACCTTCCATAATCCCCACTCTTTCTTTTCACTAACCTTCTCTAATCCCCACTCTTTCTTCTCACTAACCTCTCTAATCCCCACTCTTTCTTCTCACTAACCTTCTGAAATCCCTACTCCTTGTCATGAACCTTCCATAATCACACTCCTTTTTATCACTAACCTTCCTTAACCCCCATCTCACTAACCTTCTGTAATCCCCACACCTTCTTATCGCTAACCTTCCTAACCCCCACTCTTTCTTCTCACTACCTTCTCTAACCCCCACTTTTTCTTCTACCCTCTCTAACCCCCACTTTTTCTTCTACCTTCTCTAACCTCCACTCTTTCTTCTCACTAACCTTCTGAAATCCCTACTCCTTGTCATGTACCTTCCATAATCACACTCTTTTATCACTAACCTTCCTTAATTCCCATCTCACTAACCTTCTGTAATCCCCACACCTTCTTATCGCTAACCTTCCTAACCCCCACTCTTTCTTCTCACTACCTTCTCTAATCCCCACTCTTTCTTCTCACTGACGCTAACCCCTCTTTAACCATCCTTATTACAAGTGAATGAGTTGAGTTGGCCTTAAAAAACAAGATGAAACGGCGGGGAATATAATAAAGGTGAGAAGGATAAAATAAAATAATGTGCTATTTAGATACCAAAAAATATATTTTTTACAACTTTTTGTTTCGGAATCTCTTTTTTTTTAATATAAAAATTTACAAACTATAAACAACATCTAATAATATACAATTTATTATATATTTTTGTTCTCATATGTATATTGTAGTGTGAATGTATACATATGTAAATGTGTGTAAGTACTCATGACTGAATCGAATTGCATGAGTTGTCAGGAACAAAATTGTAAGTCAAGAATAACAACAGAATGATAAGTTGATTAACAAATATATAAACAAAATTGATGGGCAACATTAAAAAATAAATTACAAAAAAAACTAAGTTAAAGTTGGATGATTTTATAACGGTAGGATGAGGATTAATTTTGTTATTTATGATGGCTGACAGTGGACAAGTGTGAATTCACATGCTTTTTCGCTTTTACCAACAGCTAGCGGTTCCAGAAGTACAAGTACCTCCAATCTTCCTTTGATTATTTCACTGCTTTATTATTCCTCCTACAATGAATCCCATGATATAAATATAATAAATATATTAAAAATTAAAAGAAAAGACTATTGGGAGGGGGAGAATATATGTCGTCAGCTAAGGCGGGTCGGAGGGCAAGTTCTGTACGGCCGAGTTGCCGACTATTTTTGCAGCAAGGTCAGCAAACTTGGCCGTGTAGTCAAGGCTTGACTCAGCCATGAGGCTCTGGAAGTGGGAATCAACCTGGGGAAAAAAAAAAACATTAGAAATGGAAAACAGCGAAGTAAAAAAGATATAATAATAATTACATCAGTCGACATGTGCGTGTCCTCGGTTCCAGCAAGTCCGTTCGACTTCAAAGGCGACTCAAGGTGGCCTAAGAAACTGCTTAATGAAAAATCAGCAACCTAGCAGAGAACATTAAACCATCAATTAGTTACATTAACGATTCCATTCTTGGAGAAATAAAAAAAAATCAATTTAAAAATAGATGCTATAAAGCCTGATTATATACAAGATAAACAAGCTGTTATAATGTTTGATTATGAAATAAATAAGCTGTTATAAATTTTGATTATGAAATAGGATCAGATGTTATAACATTCGATTATAAAATACCTCGGAATTAAGCCATTGTCCTTCTTCGTCTTTTAAAAGGAGAGACGGGCTCGTTGGTGCAGAGACATCAAACATTTCCACGTTGTCCAATATCGCCTCATTTTGATCTCCACCGCTTAGTATGCCTATAAACGTAATTAAACAGATTTTTTTTTCAAGATGGGTAGAAGGGTGTGAACTCTGTACCTTTAAATGTATTCGAAGTCCCTGGGGTATTAATGTCAGCGGGTGCTTCTGAAACAGGTGAAACGTCTGTATCCTTTTGTACTGGAGGCGTGACTTCGGCGACCGGCTGGAAGGGCTGCGTCGATCCAATCAGTCCAGGCGCCACAGACTGCTGGACCATTTGAAACTGGCCTGGCTCTTCCCCTACAACTGATATTTATCAGAATAAAAATTATAAACACAAATGGTCAAAGTTTACCTGGATTCGGGTTGATGACGATAGGCGGGGTGTACGTTTTTGTCGGATTGGGCTGCATGGTCTGCAACGTAACTACAAGCGGAAGTGTCGTCTTGGGCAGGAGAGGCAGCATGCGTTGTACAACGACAGAACGCTGTCTCGAACGGCCTCTTCTGTTGCAATACTTGGACCTGAAGAACTGAAGTGCTGCAAAACCGTCCGGTGCACCCTTGCTCACATTCTGGGTGCTGTTCGAAGGAGCAGGAAGCAAAGGTTGCTTAAAGCAAAGCACCTTGTTCTCTCGCTGCTCCGGTTTCTTTTATGAAATAAAATAAAAAGTTACACACCCAAGCGGAAACTTGAAAATTTATTGATTAACTTACAGCAGATTTGGCAGCCCTGATCTGCTTTGACGCTTTTGCCTGTATATTTGTGGTCGGCTTTACGTTATTTTTACAAATATGTCCACAAGGACACTCGACCTAAAAGAACAAATTTTGTTTAAACAATTCTTAAAGGAACTTTTTCCTCTGATTTACTTTAATTTTAAGGTGGTAAAGTTTTGCGATAGAGACGAGTTTCTGGAGTGCCTTGGCAAATTCAGACTCCTCGTCGCCCGCCTGCTCCCACCAGTACTCAAGCTCCAAGACTCCCTTGCTCCCATACGTTATATAAAGCTGGCCTATCCTTGTCCTAGTAACACTACCCTCAGAGGCGACCGGCTGCTCATCGAGCCCATTGGGGTCTACGACGTCTGAGTTGAGCCTCGGATCTGTGTGTGGCCCGTCTCGCTGCCACTTGAGCATGCTCTTCGTCTTGCCGATCTGGAGCTGAGAGAGGAGTGCCTTGAGGTGCTCGTACGCATCGTTCCCGCCCAGGCGCTGCTCGTGGGCTAGCAATGATACCGAACTGCTTGTCACGACCTGGCCACACTTGTAGCTCGCCTGGACCGGCAAGGCTTCCTTCTTTGGACCGATCTTCAAAACCTCCTGTTCAATATTTTCAAATATTATAAACAGTCCTTACAAAATTTCACATTATTGGAATATGAAATAAATGAGTTGTTATAAAATCAGGATATAAAATAATCAATCCGTCAAGAAGTGGGAACGTGAAATAAAAGAGCTGTTATAAAGTTTGTTTATGAAATAATTGAGCAGTTAAAAAGTTGAAATAATTGACCTGTTATACAATCTGAATATAAAATAACTGAACTAGTCTGTGATTTCATATTGAGATTTTACAAAAGCTCAATTATTTCACATTCCAACTTTTTAACAAAATTAAGTGTCCTAGGGGATAACGTTAAAATGACAATTAATTACATTAACATTTCAATTCGGGGAGAAATACAATCTAAAATAGTCGTTATTCTGATATAGATTGATTATGAAATAAATCAGCAGTTATAAAGTTGAAATTTGAAATAAGTCAGCTGTCATAAAGTTTGAATATTGGATAAACTGTTATAAAGTTGATTTTTGGCATAAGATCAGCTGTTATAAAGTTTGATTATGAAATAAATCAGCTATCATAAAGTTGAAATTTGAAATAAGTCAGCTGTCATAAAGTTTGAATATTGGATAAACCAACTGTTATAAAGTTGATTTTTGGCATAAGATCAGCTGTTATAAAGTTTGATTATGAAATAAATCAGCTATCATAAAGTTGAAATTTGAAATAAAGATCAGCTGTTATAAAGTTTGATTATTGGATAAACCAGTTGTTATAAAGTTGATTTTTGGCATAAGATCAGCTGTCATAAAGTTTGATTATGAAATAGATCAGCTGTTATAAAGTGTTAATTTGAAATAAAATCATCTGTTATAAAACTGAATATGAAATAACTGAACTGTTCTGACATTTGAACATAAAATAACTGTGCTGCTATAAAATTGGAATATGAAACAATCGATGGGCTAAAAAGTTGGAATGAGAAATAATTGAGCAGTTCATGATAGAATAATATTGTCAATTACAGGACCGCTGTAGCTGAGTAGTTAGTGTGATAAACTCCCAATGTTGCCCATGGCTCTTTTTTAAAAAATTAATTTAAAATTAAAAAAATAAAATAAATAAATTTAAACAAAATTATGCATATATAACTTAAACGTCTCCTAGGCTAATATGAAAAATTCTTATGTCCTTTAAAAAAGTAAAATATATATATTATTTCATTGAGAATTGTTTCAGACTTCATAAAAGTTCAATTATTTCATATTCAGACTATGACAGCTGATCTTATTTCAAATTTCAAGTTTTTAGCTGTTCGATTATTTTATATTCAGTCTACCAATAGTTCAGATAGTTCATACTCAAGACTTTAAAATAGCTTGATTATTTCATATTCAGTTTACGAATAGTTCAGTTATATCTTAGCCAGATTTTATAATAGTGCAATATAGGTTTCAGGACAGATCACTTATTTCAAGCTAAGAAAGATCGGTCAGTTCACCCCACCACATATATAGAGCTAACTATTTAGATTTTGCTGCATTTGTGAGACCGCATCGTGCGAGAGATGCTCACCTTTCCCGACCACCAGCGTGACTGCAGGAACTCCCTCAGAGAATCGACAGTCGTATCAAGTGAAAGCGTCGTTCTGACCCTCGGGTTGTGTGCCAATGCCTGGACATGAGCCGAGTCGCGGTTCGAACGCGGTGTTATCAAAACCTCAACTCTTGACGGCAGGCGGACCTCCTCGCAATCATCTTTAAAATGTTTAAAAAAAGTTGTTAATTGGATTTCTTTCTTTCTTTTTTTTCTTTCAAACCTTCGAATTGGTTCAATTTGCGCAGAGCTCGGCATACAGGCGTTTTCACCCTCCAGGCCTTTCCTCGTACCCGGACTTGCGTACAGCCAGAGTATATGAGCTCATTGAACTTCTGGGCATTCTTTTCCGTAACGTAGCCGACCTTCTTGCGCAGCTCGCCGAAGTTGATCAATGCGTACAGCTCCTGCGTCACCTTTTTAACGCCTGTTTCAGACAGAAAAATGTTGAGAAAACTAAATCATTCTGGGTTTTTTTCCTGGCTTACTTTCAGGGAAGTGTACATGCTTGCTGATCTTGTGCCAAGTGCGGTAGTAGAAGTGGCGTGCGCGGTCTCGGTTCTTCGCCGAATGGTCACCGCGCTTTTTCGCTCGGCTCAGCATATATTTCTCGATGGCGTCGAAGTTCTTCCCGTGCTCGTTCAACGCTTCAAAGAATGCAGCCTTGTCATCAGGTGACCAGAGTACGGGCGCTCTCCTCGCCCTCGGCTTCTCTTCTGCGACATCCTCTTTGATCTCTTCTTCACGTTTGTCATCTGAACAAAACACATTTATTAGACGAATAGGTTCTTAGGGATTACTTAATCAAGTATAAAAAAAAAAAGCCCCAGTCAGCAGAATTTGACCTGACCCACGTGCGAGACTTTCTGATTTGATTCCTTTCCCTCCTCTTACCTTTTTTGCAGTCGTTGGCCGCGGCGAGTGCCTCCTGGTCGAGACGGAGCTTTTTCGAGACCCTGGCGCTCGTCCTGAGCTGTATCCCGCATCCGACCTTCTCCTGCTGCTGTTGATGTTGCTGTTGTTGCTGGTGCCCCTGAGCGTCTTCATTCTTCAACGAGTCGCTCGAACCCGGACAGTTGAGGTCCATTATCCGATCTCATCTCAGCGACCGGCCCCCCCGACAGGACGTCTCTCCCTTCGCACCTTTCGATTCCTGGTGAATTGTTTTGTAAACAAACGAAAGCGGACGCAAACAGCATATATCGCGCGTTACCTCCCGGCCGTGGGCTCGCTTGAGGGCGCCCCGAAACGGTCCGACAAGTCACAGGCCGTCCCCGCTTTATTTTCAACTTAAAAATAAAAAATATTAAAAAAACAAAATAAAACCTGTTGAGCTATAAACATCGCCGTTCTTTTGACTCTGCCGGCGGCCAAAAGAGAAAAGTACCGATTGGAGGGGGTAAGATTTGACTCAGCTGTCATCATATGTCAATTGATTAGGGAGGGGGTAAAATGAGCGAGGAGTGGGGATAAGATTTGACTGAAATAATGCACTGCTGATTTCCTTAAGCAAAAGAACACAGGCAAAATGTTTGAATGTGTGATAGTTGCTATTATTCGCCCATAAAAATATGTGGTGATTTGGATTTAGTGTGATTAAGTGAGAGTCAGAGAAAGAAAGAGTCAGGGAGAAACGGAAGAGAAAGAATCAGAATTAAAAATAGAAATTCCTGTAGAAATGGAGAGGTTGTATCATTAGGAGAAGGGGTAAGGTTTTACTTCAAGAGACTAAAGTGGGGATATTTCCTAAGGAGTGGGAGTAAGATTTGATTGAAAAAATGGACTGGACTGCTGATTTCCTTAAGAAAGAGAGGGTGTAATGTTTTAACGTTTGACAAATTTTTTTATTATTCGCCCACAAAAAAATCTAGTAATTTGGATTTAGTGGGAGTAAATCTTATATGAACCTATGTGAGAAGAGAGAGTCAATCAAAAATAGAAAGTCCTAGAGAAAGAGTGAACCAAAGAGACAGAGTCAGAGAAAGAAAGTGTCAGAGAGAAACGGAGAGAGAGAGAAAGAGTAAGAATGATTATAAGAGGTAGGGTAAGTTAAAGAGAAAGAGTGAACCAAAGATAGTTTCATAGAGAAAAGGAGAGTTAGAGTTTCGTAAGGTTTGACCCCCAAGCGTCTAGAATGGGAATGTATCGTTAGGAGAAGTGGTAGGGTTTGACCTCCAGCGGCTGGAACGGGCATGTATTGTTAGGAGAGGGGTTAAGTTTGACTCCAAGCGTCTTGTGGGGGATATATCATTTGGAGAAGGGGTAAGGTTTTACTTCAAGAGTCTAGAATGGGGATGTTTCCTAAGGAGTGGGGGTAAGATTTGAAAAAATGGCCTGCTGATTTCCTTAAGAAAGAGAGAGGGTGTAATGTTTTAACGTTTGACAGTTTTTTTATTATTTACCCACAAAAAAAGTAGTAATTCGGATTTGTGGGCTTATATGAGCCTATGTGACGAGAGAGAGAGAGAGAGAGAGAGAGAGAGAGAGAGAGAGAGAGAGAGAGNTTAGGAGAGGGGTATGGTTTGACTCCAAGCATCTAGAGTGGGGATGTATCGTTAGGAGAGGGGGTATGGTTTGACTACAAGCATCTAGAATGGGGATAAGATCTGGAAAATCGTGTTATGTTATGCTGACAAGGCGTAAAGAGAGGGTATTTATGAAATAAATAACTTCAGTCAAACTATCAAAAAATCATGTATAATTAAGTTTTAAAAAACAAACGGACAAAATATCCATTAAACAATTATACAAAACAACAGAATTCTGGTATCTACCAACTATACACAACTACATTACAATGTACCAAACATTCTTTTTTTTTTTACAGCTGATGCTCCATCTTCTTCAGGAACGCGGGGAAAAGTAACATTTTTTTTGTTAAATAAAAAGTGAAAAGAAGAAAATAAAACAAAGGAGGGATGGAGGAAGGTTTTTTCATATTTATTTTATTTTATCTCGAATAAACATTTTTTGGTCATAGTTGAAGAATTTCGATCAGTCTCGACGATCTTTTTGTGTTTGGTTTTTTTCTCAGGGTAAACGAGCATTTTCGAGCACCCTCTTCTTTTCAAAAAATTTTTTTTTGTTTTTATATTTTAGTTTTTGGAAATTGATTAATTATAATTTGTTTAACATTAAACCATTGGTCGACTATCAAAGCCCGCTTTCTTCCCTAGGTTGTCGGACTAAACTTTTGCAGGTACAGGTTTGCCCCTGGTAATAAAAAAAAAGTTATTGTTTTTGTTAAGTTGTAAAATATTATTTTTATTACTTTTTATGCTATCTAGTCTTTACAGGAGGCTTTTGATAATTTCGTTTACTCGGTTGGCTTGACGGAGCTGCCATAGCACCTGCCGATTTCGCTGTGTTCGATTCGAGTAGAGGCTGCCCTCCCTGAGCCTGTTTGAGCAGAGCGTAGCTCGACTCTTTGCTTGAGTAAGTCAGACTTTTCGCCTCTCTCTTCTCCGCCTCAGATTGCCACTCGACCTTCTGCGAGTGTTGCAAGAGCGCCTGCCTCACACGCTCCTCGGCCATCTGTCGTGTTAGGACGCCGTCGGCCGATGAGTAGGCAGCCGCCTGCCAGGCAACACCGAGTTTGGCAATCTCACGGCCGCTCATCCCCTCAGTCAGAGTTGCCATCTCGGAGCAGAATGTGCCGAAGTCGAAATGCTCGACCTTGAGCCGTTTGTGACCTTTGGATGCTGGCTCAAGTACAAACTTGTCGAAGTAGAGGCGAAGGAGGCGCTCGCGCTCTTCAAAACCGGGCAGAGTGAATTCTACCATCTCGTCCAGCCTGTCGTTCACAGCCCAGTCGAACTGTTCCGGCGTGTTTGATGCCAAGACTAGCATAAATCTAGCAACAAAATAAATTAATTAAATACATAACAAACAAAAAAGAAAAAAACAAAAAATTACTTATTGCTCTGTTCCCCCGTACGATAAAGGAATGCATTGAGAGTCGCTCTAAGCGTCTCAGATATTGTCTCTGAAGAACGCTTCCTAAGAAACGCATCGGCTTCGTCGATGAAGAGCAGAAGGCCTTTGCGTGACGTCTGTGCCCAGTCGAATACCTTGTGCATTGCCGTTACCGCATCACTACCGAGTGGAGAGACATCTCCTCCTGTCAGTATCGCATAGTCTAATCCTGAGTGCATTGCTAATTTCTAGAAGAAATTTTTTTTTTAGTTGACACAAGTAAATTCGTGCACAATGACATTTTTCTTTCACCAGACTTTCAAAAGCAGGATTGTCTATCACAGCGTGGAAACCCATTACTGGAGCATTACCACTATTGAGTGAATTCTCATGCAATCCACCTGGAACGAGGATTGCATGAGAATTCACTCAGTGGTGGTAATGCTCCAGTAATGGGTTTCCACTTTGTGATAGGCAATCCTGCTTTTGAAAGTCTCGTAGGGCTTTTTAAGTGTTCTAATACTCCCTCAACATCAAGTTTACTGGTTATTAGTTGACACGAGTAAATTCGTGCTCAATGACTTTTTTCTTCCACACAGTAACTCAAAGGGATAGATGAAAAATATTTAGACAAGTGGCTGAATATTCTTGCCAATCAGGTTGTAATGGTAATATTATGAAGTATCTCAAGAGTCGGGATAAAATTATACAACATGCTAGATGTGGGATTAATTTTGACTTAGTATATAAAGAGTGTAGATTTATTTTATCATGAGTTGGGATATTTAACACAGCATCACAAAAGTGGAGGTTTATGAGTTATTGATATGGGGTAAAGTGGGCATGAAAGATTTAACGGCCAAGTGGTGGCAATGCAACATTCGGAGGTTAAGGGTGGGGATGAATCATAAGGAGATGGGTAAGATTTGACTCATTTCCAAGAGAGGGGATTTATCATTCTGAGTGGGGGTTACGTCGTCAGGAATGGGGTTAATATTTGACTTGTTATGTAAAGAGGGGGATGAATAAGTCTGAGTAGAAGTTATGTCATAGGGGAGGGGGTAAGGTAATGACTCCAAGTGTCTAGAGGGGGGACGTATCGTTAAGAGAGTGGCTAAGGTTTGACAAGCGTCTAGAAGGGAGATGTATCATTAAGAGAGGGGGTTTGAATCAGGGTCAAGAGAGAGGATTAATCTTTCTGAGTGGGAGTTATGTTGTCAGGGGTGGGAGTAAAATTTGACTCGTTATGTAAAGGGTGAGGATGAATAAGTCTGAGTGGGAGTTGTCATGAGGAGTGGGGGTAAGATGTGACTCATTATGTAAAGGGTGGGGATGCGTAATTTTGAGTGGACGTCATCAGGAGTGGGGGTAAGAGTTGACACATTATGTAAATGGTGGGTATGAATAATTCTGAGTAGAAGTTATTTTATCAGAAGTAGGAGTAATCTGAGTGAGAGTTATATCATGAGGAGTGCGGGTAAGATTTGACTAGTGTCAGGAGAGAGGGTAAGATGTGACTCATTTAAAGGGTGGGGATGAATCATTAGGAGTGGGAGGAGATTAAAGTCCCAATGACTAATGATGTCAGTACCTTTCTCATTAACAACTTTCACTCATTAACTTGTTTATTACATCCAGCTTACTTAAATGTTAAATTGGATATGTATGTGTACATGAAATATATACCTTAGCAAAAAGCGTCTTCCCTGTTCCAGGAGGTCCATACATCAAAATGTTCCTGTACATCCCTCTGTTCTGTTTTGTGTTTTTAGTCGCGATGGCGACGTCCCTGTAAAAAAGAAAGGTTGTTAAATGGGGTTGGTTAAAGAGTTGAAATGTAAATCAGGATGTACCTCAGTCTTTCTTCGAGTTTGGGCTCGAGGATCACTCCTGCAAGAGCATCCGACGGTTGTGTCTTGAACTGTTGGAGTGTCTTAACGGGGTGCTTTAGAGACTCGATTATGGAGAAACGGGACGTCTCCCTGACAAGGGTCGGCTTGCCTAGGCGGGCCTCGAGGAACCGCGCCGTAAGGGATGTTGTGTTTTTAGCTGTGTACACGCCCAGGGCGAGGAGTGACAAGCCACCTACAGCTGTCAGCGTCTTCTCCCAGTCGGTCAGAAGCGTGTGCACACCCGTCCCGATGAGGTTCCCGGCCGTCTTGATGGACTCGAGCACCGTCGTCCTGTTCTCGGATGCCTTCAGCCTCAGCCTTTCGAGGTAGAGATCCTGGTTCTCCCGGTCTGCCTTCGCCTTGGCCATCATCTCAGCCTCGAGCTTCTTTGCGTCCACCTTCGATCTCATCTCCATCTCGTGCTCGATCGTCGCTAATAACAAACACCTATTTTTAAAACTGAAATCAGACTTTTAAGCTGGGTTTTTGGATTAAAGATCCTGATACCTCGGCGCATCGCTTCCTGCTTCGCGACCGACTCCTCCTGACGGCGCAGGTTCTCGTCATTCATCTTCTGCTGTTGAAGCAGCTGGTCCTCATACCTCTTTCGGGCCAGCTGGTCTTGGTAATTTGCGCGTGATTGATGGTGCTTCGTCTCCTCGGCAAGCGTCTTCCTCCTCTCCTCGGCATCAACCCTTTTCTGCTCAACTTTCGCCTTTTCCATCATCATCTCGTACTCCTTGATTTTAGAAATCATCTCTTGCTGCTTTGTCACTTCTTGGAGCTTCGACAACTCTAGGGCTTCTTTTGAGTGCCCTGCGGGTGGAAAAAAAAAAAAAATCAATCATCAAAATCTGGGGCAAACCAAGTTTGAATTCCATCAATCAACCAGCCTCACCTAAAAACAACTATACGATTATCAATATCATATAGTGCCACAAGGCAGAAAACACTGAACCTTCATATAAAAATTATATACTAACCTATTGTCTCATAGACTACCCCAGGTGAGATCACATTGTCAACTACATGCTTATCAACTGCATATAGAGCAATCAACAATTACGATGGATAGTTTCTAAGTCTTCATGGCATACATCAACCTGGAGATTTGTAATCTCCCAAAATTAAGTCAAACATTCATGATATAAATCAACTTGCTGTTCTGAAACTTCCCTCAATGCGGATAAATATCAATTGTACGTTTATCAATCGCGTGAATCATCATCGAGACAGAATTGTGTCATGATGGTGTACACCAACTTGTAGATCTGCAATCTTTCCAAACTCAGAAAGGTCTATTCTGTATTGACAGATTAAAAAAAAAAATAAACGAGCGCTATGTTAAAAACCCGTTACATAACCTACCCAACTTATTATATTGTCAATCATAAATCACATTGAAGATTTATCCTGATTGATGCTTTGCAAACCCAGAAAGGCCTATATTTTGATTTTTTTAAATAAATGAGCAATATGTTAAACCGTAGCATAACCTACAGAAATTTATGTTCGTTATGATATATCAATCGTATATAACGTTAAAGATTTATCCTGATTGATAATTTAAAAAAAATATTTTTAAAAAATCATGGCGTACATCAACCTGGTATCAATTATACTCTTATCAATCGCGTTTATCATCGGTGAGACAGAATTGAGTCATGCCATTCAACCTGGTATATTAAAACCTCCCTCAACGCGAATAAATATCTATTTTACGCTTATCAATCGCGTTCATCGTCATCGATACGGAATTGCGTCATGTCATTCAACCTGGTATTTTGAAACCTCCCTCAACGTAGATAAATATCTATTTTACGCTTATCAATCGCGTTTATCGTCATCGAGACGAAATTGCGTCATGCCATCCAACCTGGTATTTTGAAACCTCCCTCAACGCGAATAAATTTATATTTTACGCTTATCAATCGCGTTCATCGTCATCGATACGGAATTGCGTCATTCAACCTGGTATTTTGAAACCTCACTCAACGCGGATAAATTTGAATTTTACGCTTATCAATTGCGTTTATCGTCATCGAGACAGAATTGAGTCGTCATTCAATCTGTATTTTGAAACCTCCCTCAACGCAGATATAATTATATGCCTATCAAGCGCCGTATCGACATCGAGACAGAATTGAGTCATGATGGCTTATATCAACCTTGAGTTTTGCAAACTTTCCAAACTCAGAAAGGCCTATTTTGATTTTTTTTAAATATACGAGCGATATATTAAGCAACCATTACATAACTATTATATTACGTAAGTTATTATATTATATCGTATATAAAGTTTAAGATTTATCGTGATTATGCTTTGCAGAAATGATAATCACGGCGTAGATCAATCTGGAGTTCTGCAGCCTTTCCAAACCCAGAAAGACAGACCTACATTTTGACTAATTTTTTTTAAATATATGAGAAATATGTTAAACAACCGTTACATAACCTACTCAAGTTATATTATCAATCTTATCTTACGTTAAAAGATTTATCCTGACTGATACTTTTTAGAAATGATAATCAAGGCCTAGATTAACCTGGTTTTCAGCAACCTCCCAAGACCGATAGAGCATATCACCGTCGGATAAGATTGATGATTGATCGAACTTACGTGATTTCTCTAGCTCCTTAGCGGCTTTAGCTGCCCGCTCGAGCGCTGAAGAATCAAATCTGTACGCCTCCATCGACTTCTTCGTCTTGTCGTCAATCTTGGACAAGTCGACCTTGCCGGTGTCCCCGGCCCCTCCGTCAGCGGGCGGCGCCTCAGGGAGCTCGGGTCCGACCTGGTCCGCCCGTTTGATCCCGAACAGCCAGGACATGGTCGGGGAAGATCAGACGGGAAAAGAAAATAAATCGCCGGAAAAGGCCTGCGAGCGGCGGTGTCTAGAGCACGAGCTGGGAAACAGTGATTGCGCCTTTCCAACCGGCGTCACGGCCCACGAGATGGAAGTCCTTCATCGCCGCACTTCGTTCACCGTGTTTTCTTTTTTGTTTTTTCACCCGTCCTTGGGATAAAAAATTCTACGATGAAAAACTCCCCTCGTACTTTTCAGCTTTGAAATTTTCCACGTTTTTCCAAAAGCGGGTTTGGTTTTTTTCCTAGAAATCTAAATATTGCGAGAGTGTCGAAATGGTAAGAACATGTGTTTTATTTTTTTTATTTTTATTTCCCATCGCTCTATGGACCTCGATTGACGTCAATACAGAAGGACAGACCCGCTCACTCAAACAACATTTTTCACCCAATTTTTATACAATAATTTAACAAAAAATAAATTCCACACAAAAATGACAAAATTTGAACCCCCTGAACGTACTCGGAACGGTAAGTCAGAATCCAACATGCCAAACAATAAACGTTTCAAAGTAAGAACAATTAATCTAATTAATTAATAAACAAAGAAAATTAAACAAAAATCTAATGGTCTGCAATTATATAAAGAAACAATTATCCTAGCATTACTTTTCATTGGTTAGACAATCAAATGTATAATTCAACAAATTTATCCAAATCAAATGTCTAAATAATTAAAAAGCAGCGAAATAAAGAAATCGTATTTTAATTTCTAAGATCATGAAGGAAAAGTAGTAAATTATTCTTATATATCCATGAATTGGTAGGATTCGACACAATCCAAGATGGCTGAATGATGGATATCCCTTCTTTTTTTTTAATTCTCTAATATTACTGCAAATTAAAAGTCTATATAATAATAAATCAACAAAATAAACAAATCCACTTTTAATTTTCTTTAAACTAATAACATCATGAAGGAAAATTAGTAAATGATTCTCTGATATTTAAGGATTGGTAGGATTCGCCACAATCCAAGATGGCTGTATGATGGCTATTCCTTCTTTTTTCTTAATAATTCTACAATTTTACTTTAATTAAAATAAAGAAATCCTCTTTTGATTTCTAACATCATGGAAAAAATTAGTAAATTATTCAATAGAATTAATATCCATGAATTGGTAGGATTTGCCACAATCCAAGATGGCTGAATGATGGATATTCCTTCTTTTTTTCTTCTTCTCAATAATAAAACAATTTTTGCCCAAATGAAATGTCCAAATAATTAAAATTGTACAAAATAAACAAATCCTCTTTTAATTTCTAACATTATGGAGGAAAATTAGTAAATTATTCTCAGATATCAATGAATTGATAGGATTCGACACAACCCAAGATGGCTGAACGATGGATATTCCTTTTTTTCTTTCTCAATAATTCTACAAATTTTGCCCAAATGAAATATCTAAATATGTAATTAAAAATATGCAAAATAAACAAATCATCTATGTAATGGAGAAAAAATTCAAATTATTCTGAAATATCAATAAATCGGCACAGTCAGCAGAACCCAATATGGTCGAATATTGAAACTTCCTTATTAATAATTCTTCAATTTTACAGTATATAAAATGTTTTAATAATTAAAATTCAATGAAATAAACAAATCATTTTTATTATGTCTCATATCTTGTAAGAAAAACATTAATGATCTATGAATTGACACAATCCAATAAGGCAAAATAGTGAAATTTTACAATTACCATGGTCAAAAGTGAAAATTATTTTTGAAGTTCACTCTTTCCCCTTAACCAAAACATTATACAAAGTCTGATTTTTTTATTTCCTTTTCTTAGTCTGTTTTAAATATGCTTGGTAGTTTAAAGGTTGTTTATCCTGCATTTTGAGGTCGGTCGGAACGGATGCAATAAATTAAATAGAAAAAAAATTGTTTTATTTGTTTCTTAATGTTTATTTAAACCAAAATCAAGTACAAACTAAAAAGGAAAATAAAGAAAAGTAGGTTCTTTAGCCTAGTCACTTTCCATTTAGTTTTATTATCTTATAAAACAAAAAATAATAAGGAAAGATGAAAAAAGTTTTAAAGTAGAAAATAGTTTCATAGTGTTTCTGTCTTCTTGAAGTCCTGGTCGGGCTGAGCTTCCAAGCCGACCTCATCGACCCATGTCGATTCCTGTTGGAACATTGATGATAAGTGGGTGGATTTGATGATTGTTTTTGGTTTTTCTTACCTTGGGAAGGTTTGGCCTGGGTCCTTGGTGTCTCGCCACAGTCAGAGTCAGCTTCTTACCCGCTGAAGCCATCAGCGGGACAGTCATGCAGCAGTCCAAATCATGAGTCGGTATGTCGTTCACCTTTAAGAACAATAATTATTGTATTTATTGTTTTTATTATTTTATTATTGAGAAAAGTTTTACCTTGATGATCTTGTCGTACGGTTTAAGAGAGTTGGCAAGGTCAGCTGGGCTTCCAGGCTTTATTGTATTAATGAAGACCCCCTTTTCATACAGGCCGTCTGAAACGGAGAAGCCGAAATCGTCAAAGACCAAACTCTTGTAAAGTGTGACCTGGAAGATGTTTTTTGTTTCTGCCTCCGGCCTGCGGAAGGTCGAGAACGACACGCTCTGGCTCTTGTCAACGTGGTGGCTCTCGACGTCCAGGCCAGTGTCGTTCATGCTCGACCCCCTCCAATGGGCGGGAAGCTTGATCTTCCTCATGTTGTAGTTGGTCCGGAGAGGGCAGGGAGGCGAAGGCGGAGGAGGCGGTATTTTCATCCTTCTCTGTTCTAAATCACCCTCTGAGAGACGAATGGACGAGCAGGTCTCATCATCATCTAACCAACCGGTCAAATTTGTTAATCAGCATCAATACATATCAAAAGTATCAACTCACCCGACTGCTGGGTCGTCAGGCTCTGCCTGTTATCCATCCGCCAGTCCGAGTTGCCATATCCTAAGAATATTACAATAAAAAAATTTATATACATACCATACATTAAAACATACCATTATATAGATTAGGCTCAATGCTAGAGTCCCAGGATTCCACGGCTGAATCGACAGAAGGCAAACCCGGGCTTGAATAACCGAGATCGACATTGCCTAAATGTCAAAGATCAAATTAATAAAAAGCAAAAAACCTTATATTTGTAAAACAGAAATTGTTACCATCTCCAGGGCATAGGTAGAAAGTGACCTCTTCATTGCAGCTCTTAAAAACTCTCATTGCTACAGATATGTCGGTAACCCTGGTCTGATCTATCCTGACGAGACGGTCACCAATGAAAATCCTGCCACACCTGTGTGCCACGGAGCCCCACTTCACTTCTGATACAATAATCCCAGTTTCTGGAGAATCTGAAAGGAAAGAACATCCATAAGATAGAATACCACAAAGGAACTCGACTTTTTAAAGGGAAGAACAACTGTACGATGGAGCTTAGCTAGTTTAAAAAGAAGAACACCAGTATGATGGAGGACCACAATAGAAAATCCACTTTTTAGTGGTTATCCTACACTTACTAAAGAGTAGGATATACATACAATAGAGTAAATTTATGTTTGAAAGTGGACGACATCTATATGATGGTCTACCACGAAGGAACTCCACTTGGTAAAAGAGAAGGACAACCGTAAGATGCACCGCAATGGAAATCCACTTTAGAAAGAAAAAGGTAACTGCAGAATGGAGTACCACGATGTAACCCAATTAGTTGGAGTAGGGGGTCCGCGGTAGCTGAGTGGTTAGCATGAGAGACTCTCACGCCGCGGTCGTGGGTTCGATTCCCACCGTCGCCTCTGGCCCTTTTTTCACAATAACCCCCCCAATTTGAACACACATATAAGAATTGTCACGATGGCTAATATGCTAGATCATAACGCAAAAAAAAACAAAAAAAAAACAAATTATTAGTTGTAAATTAAGGACATACATAAGATAAAGTACCATGATGGAACTTCACTTATTGAAAGAGAAAACAACATATGCAGGATGGAGTACCATGATGGAACTCAACTTTTGAAATGGAAGGATATCCATATAATGGAGTTTCATGATGGAAATCCACTTTTGAAAGGGAAGGACAACCTTATGATGGAATACCATGATGGAAATTCTCTTTTGAAATGGAAGGGCATCTGCAGAATGGAGTACCACAATGGAACTGTACTTTTTAAAGGGTAGAACATATGTAAGGAGTCCCATGATAGAGCTCAACTTGTCGAATGGGAAGGGCATCCATATCAGTACCACCTAAGAACTCAATTTGTTAAAAGAAAATATCTACAGGATGGAGTGCCACGATGGAACTCTACTTGTTGAGAGGGTAGAACATCTGTAGGTTGGAGTTTCAGAATTGAGCTCAACTTGTTCATAGGGAAGGATATCATTTCGGAAGTGAAGTTCAACAATTGCACTCACAGGTCAATCTACATGGCCATAACCTGTGAGCTTACTGGCTAAGGGAGACTATCCCAACGATGAAGCCATGGAAGGAAGCAGGCAGGAATACATTTCTGGAAGATAGCCATCTTCTCTGACAGTCACTAAAGGCCCTAGCTTCATGTAAGGTGAAGGCAAATACCATTTGGAACTGCATGGAGGTCCTGACTGGAAGTCAGTGACACTGGCATGGGTCCCTGGGTGTTCAGGGGCATAGAGGCAATGAAAAGGTTGATATGTTAGCCAACATGGACTTACTGTGGCCTAGCATCTTGAGACATTCTAAAATAGATCCTCAATGAGTCCAAAGTTTGGTGAAATAATACTGTAGGCTTGAGGCATGTGAATAAATTCATAGAAGGGCCATCCACAAAACTTACAAAGGAAATATTGGAAGGCAACTACAACCGAACCAGGATTTGGACAGGGCACTGCACTTAAGAAAGCACATGCACAGACAGAAGAAACACTACAGATACTTCCAGGAAGATGAGAAGGCCTCAGAATCATTTTATATTTTCATGATGGTCTATATAGGTGCAGAATTTTGAAAATAGGAGAGGGAAAAGCTGCAAGCATTTCTTCACTAAGGAGCTGTTGGCCTGGCTTTGGACATTGATCAACAACTTTGATATATGCCAGTGAGTTGTAAATACTAAAGGAGCACAGTAGACCTACTCAGGTCAAGGTGCGGAAGGCCTTGGGGCCGCCTCTTTCATCCCTATCTCCCCTAGGATAAAGTACCACACTATGATGGTACTCAACTAGTACTTTGTGATATTGACCTGTGATGGTGACGCCAAAGCCTGAGGCGAGGGAGCGAGTCAGTCTCACCCTTTTGATGTTCTCCTTCGGCTGACTCCTCCATACCTCGACGTCGAACTGTACAGAGAGGTGAAGTGTGGTGCCGAGGTCTTCGAGCCGGTTCAGCCTCTCGACTGGCCTTCCGTTGGCCATCAGTATTCTGTCGCCGACCTGGAGCACTCCAGACCTGGAAACAAGAGACAGACAAGAAGAACACATGCTCGTTGAAACGCGACCGATGTCATTTTACCTATCGGCAATGCTATTTGGCTCGATGTAACAAACAATAACGCCTTTCTTAGAAGGCGCGGAACGGAATATGATACCGTACATCTCGCCTTGTCGGGCCTGGAGGCTCACCAGACCGGATTCGATCTTGATGTCTGTCTGGAGGTAGTCGTCTTTCCCAAAGTTCTGGTACTGGTGGTACTGGTTGTCATTGATGTCCTGGTAGTTTTGGCGTGTGTACTGGGGGCTCTGGCTTCCCGAGTACTGGCTCTGCATTCCTGAAAACAACATAAATCAATTACCAGTTGATCTAACCAAAGTTGATCTCGACTTTTTAGGCTAAATGGTAATCTTGAGAATTGAAGGATAGAGATATTCTTTATAATGACTGCTCAACGGACAGGAACTAAGGAAGAAGATATCATTAGGTACCAAAGGACCAAAAGGTCATTGTAGTTCACGTCAGATGATCTGACCAAGGTTAACCTTTGGGGTTAAACTAACTCACCAGTCTCAGTGGTCGCAACAGGTAAAATTTCAATCTGAAGGACCGGACACTTGGAATCTTCTAGGATTTTGGCGACATTCGTCGAAGTCAGCTTCGAGTTTTCGACCCTGACGTCATTCACGGCGAGGATCTGATCTCCCGGGAGGAATGCGCCGCACCTGGAATGTTCCATAGGTCAATTTTTTTAAATAACAGAGTGGAAAGAGAGTATGTACCGTTCCGCGATGCTGGCCGTCTTGAGCTTCGAGACGATGACCCCGCTGGATGAGTCGATGAGGCTCAGGCCTATCTGGTTCTTCATCAGCTCCCCGGAGGATTCGATCTCGATGAGGAGCGGCCCTGTCGAACGGAGGTTGCTCATGACGGAGACGTCGTACTCTATGACAAGCCAGGTACACTGTCCTGAGCCATTCCTCTGCGTCAGAAGGCTCTGGGCCTCGGCCAGGCTGAGCCCGCCGAGCCGTTTTCCATCCACGGCGAGAACTCTGTCACCCACTTTGATCGTCCCTTCCCTAAGAATCGAAAACAAAACACAAAAACTTAGGATATAACAAATTAACAAGTGGCTTGACTACCTGTCAGCAGGTCCATAGGGCTTGATGTGTGTCACGACAAGGGAGGCGTAGTTGGCCGCCGGCCGGAGGTTGATGCCCAGTCCGATGTGCGGGTCCCTCTCCAAAGGAACACCGACTACCCTCGTCGTAGTCACATCGCTCCCGGCTGATCAACAAAATCAAATTCTTGAAACAATCATTTCAAAGAGAAAACCAACCACTGGGACTTAAATAGAAAAAAACAACCGGTCCAGACCGGGCCTTAAAACAGTGCGTGGTTTCCCTGGACTGTTTCCAATAAACGTGAGCGTTCTAAAATTAAAGTATTTTGCGAATTGGGGCCACATTTTTTTTTAATTTATGGACTGATTGTTGATTTGGTTCAGTTACCATAGCTGGAGAACTCGTCCCAACTGAGGTCAAGTTTGGGCTGTTGAGGCTCCGGTGTTGACTCTTTCACCCTATCCGAGTTGCCCTGGCACAGGGCTTTGTCCAAGCTCCCTGAAACAGAAACGAAGCAAACTTTAACAAAGTTCCTAAAATTAAAGGATAACGATTAGACTTCATTGAACTGCCCAGAAGTCTGAGGATTGTATATAGCAGTTGGATATCCCTTTCAAGGTTTTCAGAAGATTTTAGTTGGTTTTTTTAATGCCAAATGGCAATGTCCTGGAATTGTCTCATAGGATAATTGAACTGTTTTTCTTATGGCGCCTGGACAGCCAGTTCTCGGAATCTGAGCGTTTCTTATGGCACCTGGACAGTCATTTCCCGGAAATTGTTCATTTGATCTGAGAGTTTTTTTAATGGCGGCATATGGCAATGTCTCGGAATTGTTTCGCAGGATAACTGAACTGTTTTTTCTTATGGCGCCTGGACAGACAGTTCTCGGAATCTGAGAAACGTTTGTTATGGCGTCTTGACAGCCAGTTCTAGGAATCTGAGAAACATTTCTTACGGCGCCTGTAGTTATTTCCCGGAAGTTTTTCATGGATCTGAGACAGTTTTTTAATGGTGCATGGGTAGTCATTTCTCGGCATCTGAGAAACGTTTGTTATGGCGTTTGGACAGCCACTTCTCGTAATTTGAGAAACTTTCGTATCCCGCCTGGGAAGTCAGTTCTCGGAATCTGAGAAACGTTTGTTAAGGCGCCTGGTCAGTTATTTCCCGGAAGTTTTTCATGTTATCTGAGACAGTTTTTTAATGGCGCGTGGGTAGTCATTTCTCGGCATCTGAGAAACTTTCTTATGGCGTCTGGACAGCCAGTTCTCGGAGATTGAAAAACGTTTCTTATGGCAATTGGAGAGTTATTTCCCGGAATTTGAGATATGTTTGTTATGGCGCCTGGAGAGCCAGTTCTCGGAGATTAAAAAACGTTTCTTATGGCAATTGGACAGTTATTTCCCGGAATTTGAGATACGTTTGTTATGGCGCCTGGACAGTTATTTCCCGGAATTTGAGAAATGTTTGTTATGGCGTGTGGACAGCGAGTTCTCGGAATCTGAGAAACGTCTGTTATGGCGTCTGGCCAGCGAGTTCTCGGAATGTGAAAAACGTTTTTTATGGCGTCTGGATAGCGAGTTTTCGGAATTTGAGAAATGTTTGTTATGGCGCCTGGAAAGCCAGTTCTCAGAATCTGAGAAACTTTCTTATCGCGCCTGGACAGTTATTTCCCGGAATTTTTTCATTTGATCTGTGACGGTTTTTAATGGCGCCAGAACGTAATGTCCCACAATTGTTTCATAGAATCTTCGAACTGTTTTATCATATGGTGCCTGGGTAGTCAGTTCTCGGAATCTGAGAACTCTTTGTTATGGTGCCTGGATTGTTGACCGACTCACGTAACGCCCGTTGGATCAGACTGCTCTAATTCGACTATTAATAGATATGCAAAACGTCACGGCGTTTTCCAGTTCACCCTGCCAACCAAAAAACTAAAACGTAGAGGTGAAACTGTCTGAAGGGTGTTCAACACGTGTACTCGAATGTCTCGAAATTTTTTCTCTTTTTAATTTGTGTTTCGATGTCTGGTCTCGTTTGTTTTGTTTTTATTAGCGGTTAGGACGCTGTTTTTTTTTTCTATTTCCAAAGGTTCAACGGAGTTCACATCGTTTTAGGGTTAAAGGGATACGACGAGTTGGACCCCGGCCAGGGCAGAGGCGAAAATCCACCTAGCCTCTGAACAACACTTCGGCTCGAAGGTACAATGTTAGGTCCGTTCCGTCTCGCTCTTTTTCCCTTTTATAACTCACAACCTATCGGTTCTCGGTGCCTTTCGTCAATCAAACACCCACGGATCTACCTCCCTATAAAGTCACGTTTCGTTTAATTTGTTCCGGTTGAAAAATATCGAAGGGAGGTCTAATTGACGCCCACTCATTTTAAAAAAGCAGGGGGACACAGAGTATAAAAATAAACAGGGCTTGAAGTGTTATTTTTGTGGTAAGGAGGGCTTTTTTCACTCGTTTCCTCCAAAAGAGACGAAGGTCGAAAAAAGGGCAAAGAATTTGGGTCAATCCAGTGCATATCAACTTATTAGCATAAATCAATAAAGATTGACGCAATTATTGACCCATTGATCTGTGGTTTAAATTTGGTTCAAATCTGTCAGGGTCTAAAGAGGCTAGGAGGTCTGAGATTCTTAAGTTTTATGGCTTCTCTACATACTGGCCAAATTTTATTCAAATCGAATTTAAAGAACTAGACTTCTAGGAGCATAACACAAAGTTTGTCTTGCAAAGGTTGGCTCCTACTCATTTTTTTATGGATCTCATTGATTCATCGTGCAAGACAATAAAAATTAACAAAATCATTGACCACTCATGTACCATTCATCTATTGGCATAAATCTGTCAAATAGGTTTTTAAGAACTAGACATATTTGGGCAAAAATCGGATTTTGTCTTGGCTAAGTTGGCACGTTCACACTTAATTGTATATATCTCCTTCATTGACGAGCACAAGTCAATTAAAAATGACAGTTATTGACCATTGAGTACTTCATACGATGGCACAAATCTGGTTCAAATTTACTGGGAAGAACTCGACGTATTTGGGAATCAAACAGAGTTTTCCTAGGCTAAGTTGCCAACATTACACTTCATCGTGTCTCCTTAATTGACTGGCACAAGTCAATCAAAATTGACACAATTATTGACCATTCATGTAATGGTACAAATATGGTTCAAATAGTTTTTAAAGAACTAGACTTATTTGAGCATAAATCCGAGTTTGACGGCTATATTGTCAACTTTACACTTGATTGTATCTCCTCAACAGACGTACACCAGTCAATAAAAACTGACACATTATCGACCATTCGGGACTTCATATAATAGCACAAATCTGGTTCAAATCTGTTGGGAAGAAATCGACTTGTTGGGCCATCAAACAGAGTTTGTCTTCCAAAGGTTGGTCCCTTCCCATTTGATTGTGTATCTCGATAATTGACAGGCAAAAGTCAATGAAAATTGATTCTATTATTAAGCATTCATTAGTTCATATATTGACACAAAGCTATTTAAAATCGGATGGTAAGAAATCGATTTATTAGACTATAAAACAGATTTGTCTAACAAAGGTTGGTTCCTTCCCATTTGATTGTGTATCTCGATAATTTACAGGCAAAAGTCAATGAAAATTGATACTATTATTGACCATTCAGGGCTTCATATAATGGCGCAAATCTGGTGCAAATCGGATGGCAAGAAATCGATTTATTGGACTATAAAACAGATTTGTTTTGCAAGGTTGGTCCTTTCTCATATTATTGAGTATCTCGTTAATTGACCAGCAAAAGTCAATGAAAATTGATAAGATTATTGACCATTCAGTAGTTCATATTATGGCACAAATCTGGTTCAAATCGGATGGCAAAAAATCGATTTATTGGACTATAAAACAGATTTGTCTAACAAAGGTTGGTTCCTTCCCATTTGATTTTGTATCTCGATAATTGACATGTAAAAGTCAATGAAAATTGATACTATTATTGAGCAGTCATTAGTTTATATACTGACACAAATCTATTTAAAAGCGGATGGTAAGAAATCGATTTATTAGACTATAAAACAGATTTGTCTAACAAAGGTTGGTTCCTTCCCATTTGATTTTGTATCTCGATAATTGATAAGCAAAAGTAAATGAAAATTGATACTATTATTGACCATTCAGGGCTTATATAATGGCGCAAATCTGGTGCAAATCGGATGGCAAGAAATCGATTTATTGGACTATAAAACAGATTTGTCTAACAAAGGTTGGTCCCTTCCCATTTGATTGTGTATCTCGATAATTGACAGGCAAAAGTCAATGAAAATTGGTACTATTATTGACCATTCAGTAGTTCATATAATGGCGCACATCTGGTGGAAATCGGATGGCAAGAAATCGATTTATTGGACTATAAAACAGATTTGTTTTGCAAGGTTGGTCCTTTCTCATATTATTGAGTATCTCGTTAATTGACTAGCAAAAGTCAATGAAAATTGATACTATTATTGACCAGTCAGTACTTCATATAATGGCGCAAATCTGGTGCAAATCGGATGGCAAAAAATCGATTTATTGGACTATAAAACAGATTTGTTTTGCAAGGTTGGTCCTTTTTCATATTATTGAGTATCTCGTTGATTGACCTGCAAAAGTAAATGAAAATTGATAAGATTATTGACCATTCAGTAGTTCATATAATGGCACAAATCTGGTTCAAATCGGATGGCAAAAAATCGATTTATTGGACTATAAAACAGATTTGTATTCCAAGGTTGGTCCTTTCTCATATTATTGTGTATCTCGTTAATTGACTAGCAAAAGTCAATGAAAATTGATAAGATTATTGACCATTCAGTAGTTCATATAATGGCACAAATCTGGTTCAAATCGGTTGTTAAGAAATCGACTTTTTTGGACGTAAAATCCGAGTTTGACTTGGTTAATTTGACAATTTTAAACTTGATTGTTAAAATTCATAATTGAATAGCACAAGTTAATCAAAATTGAGCAAATTATTGACTATCCATGTAATGGCGCAAATCGGGTTCAAATATGTTTTGAAGAAATCGACTTTTTTGGGCATAAATCGGAGTTTGAATTGGCTAAATTGGCATGTTCACACTTAATTGTGTAACTCCTTAATTGACAAGTACAACTCAAATAAAAATTGACACGATTATTGACAATTCAGTAGTTCATATACTGGCACAAATCTATTTCAAATCGGATGGGAAGAAATCGATTTATTGGACTATAAAACAGAGTTTGTCTTGCAAAGGTTGGTCCCTTCTCATTTTATTATTTTCTCGTAAATTGCCAAGCAAAAGTCAATGAAAATAGATACGATTATTAACCATTCAGTACTTCATATAATGGCACAAATCTGGTTCTTATTGGTTGGGAGGAAATAGATTTATCGGACCATAAAACAGAGCTTTTCTTGGCAAGGTTGATCCTTTCTTATTTTATTATGTATCTGTTTGATTCATCGGTGTAAAACAATAATA